TGCGAGGGCCGAACGACGCTGCTTGCAGCTTTAATTAGGCCCGAGCAGCGAAAGCGCTGCGAAGGCCTCTTGTTTTTGCTCTGATTATTAGGCCCGAGCAGCGAAAGCGCTGCGAAGGCCTCTTGTTTTTGCTCTGTTTATTTTTATTTATTATTCTTAGCCCGCTTTGAATGGCTTTTTGGGGACCTTATCATACCCCAAAACTCACAATATTTTGCAAAGATGTCAGGCCTGGTGAAAAATTTAATATTTTAATGGTCCCAAAAAAATTGCAAAGAAAATGGCTGAACAGCGCCCCCTACAAAGTGAAAAAAAACCCTCTCCATAAAGCTTAGTTTATCGTACAGTTATGAAATTTGGTACACTTGTAGTACTCACCAGTCCGCACAGAAAAGTCTCTTGCAAGCATGGTCAATATCAAACAGGAAGTCGGCCATTTTGGGTTGAAATGGCGATTTTTAGCCGTTTTGGCCGTTTTTAGGGTCCGTTTCTGATTGGATTGCTCGATAATTTTTCGCACCATCATCTCAAAAATTGTGTAAAATTGCTCAGAAGGGATGGGCGAACAAAATGAGACAATAAAATTGACTTTTCGTAAATACTGAAGGGGCGGGGCCAGGCCTCGAAGTTTGACTACTCGCCAAAAATATTTAAATTGCTATAACTTCATAACTCAATGGAATAGAGTTACCAAACTTTCTGTGGTCATTCGTCATCCACCCACAAAGTAAATTGAATGGTCGGATGATGACATCACACAAGCCCCTCCCCCTCAGGACCAAAAAGATCAAATTTTACTGTGAAAGGTCCCAAATTGCCCCATTTCACTTAATCACCACGAATTTGTAGCTGGTAAGTCAAGACAAGTGGGGGTTGCTTGGCGTCACTTTATGGGAGTTTTCGGCAGAGGGCGGGGCTGTGGCGGCGCGGCGAAGTCAGGCGTACCGCCGTGGCCTTACGTTTGCCTCCCATTTTGTCATTTCTAAAGATATCGTCACGAAACTTCTTGTGAGTGATCCTAGTCCGGCCCCCCAAAAGATCTGATGTGAACATCTGGTGGGCGTGGCCTATATTCTGAAATAGCGCCCCCTAGGACCATTAAAACTGTCAGCCCCAAGCCATGCTTTGACTGAGGATTACGAAATTTGGTACACTAATGTGGTGTCTAAGGACCTACAAAAAAGTCTCTTGGAGCCAAGTGCAAAGTCGCACAGGAAGTCGGCCATTTTGGTCCAAGTGCGCGATTTAGTGGTTTTCACACACGTTGTTTGGAGAGTGATGCTCCGTTGCCCTTTTCACCAATCGCCTTCAAACTTCTGCTATATACTCTTAAGACATAGAGGAAAAAATTCAACCGTCGGATTTTAAATAAGTATAAAGGTGTGGGCGTGGCTAAGCCTCAAACTTTGACCTTTCGCCACGCCACTCTTTTTTTCACAGCTCCCTATTGGACCCCTTTTACCCAATCACCAGTAATCTCTGGTAAATAGCAGCAGACAAGTTGAGGTCACTTGGTCTCCAGTACTGGAAGGTTTTGAGAAAAGGCGGGGCTTTGGGAGCATGGCGAAATTCGCCATCACGCCATGGAAATACGTTTGCCTCTCATTTCTTCACTTATCGTGATATCACCTCGAAATTTGTTGTGAGTGATCCTAGTCTAACCCCAAATAGAAATTGACAGTTAAAGTTTGTGGGCGTGGCCTAATTTCTGAAATAGCGCCCCCTAGGACCATTAAAACTGTCAGCCCCAAGCCATGCTTTGACTGAGGATTACGAAATTTGGTACATTAATGTGCTGTCTCAGGACCTACAAAAAAGTCTCTTGGAGCCAAGTGCAAAGCCGCACAGGAAGTCGGCCATTTTGGTCCAAGTACTCGATTTTGTGGTTTTCGCACACGTTGTTTGGACAATGATACCCCGTCACCTTTTTCACCAATCACCTTCACACTTCTGCTATATGCTCTTAAGACATAGAGGAAAAAATTCAACCGTCGGATTTTAAATAAGTATAAAGGTGTGGGCGTGGCTAAGCCTCAAACTTTGACCTTTCGCCATTACATTACTTGACTTAATAACTTCCATGTGCATGATCAGATCTATATCAAACTTTTTCTGGGTGATCACTGACCACATCTCAAGACAATAACAATGTGGACAGCTGACATCACCTAAGCCCCGCCCCCTGAATACAGGAAGGCTATTGTTTTATGCTGAAATGCCTATATTTGTCCCCTCTAATTTAGTGAACATGACACTAAGGTCATGCACTGTCTTCATGATGTTGTAATGACCATTCAGATCTGATAGCTTTCCGGAAAGGGAGGGGTTTTGATGCAATGGCGAATGCTGTCATGACGCCATGACCTTACGTTTGACTGTAACTTCCACAAACGTCCTCCGATTTGCCCGAAACTGAACATGGCAATGAACAATCATGTTTTATAGCCAACGAGGCACAAACGGTTGGTGAATGTTATATAATGTCACCACAGCGCCCCCTACATACCTTTAAAACTGTAATAACTCCTACAGACAAGGTCGTAACTGCACCAAACTTGCTATGTGTCATCACACAAAGGCACCCAACACAATCCTGTGGCAATTGGTTTATATCGCTTTATCTCTGCCCCCTGCCAAATGCCAAATTAACAGAAAGCCATCTTTGTCAAGCAAAGATGACCTAAATGGGAAATGAATGTAATCGGTTACAGCGGCCAAATCTAACTTCATACTTCAATACCTTCAAAGATAAAGGCCAGAATTGCATTAAACTTGGTTTGTGTCATCACTTCACTGTAAAAGTTATAGGTCATCGTTGATTCAAAGACCTTTAGACCTTTTAGGCCTTTAGCTCTACATACCACATGCAACATCTGAATTACGCCGAACTAACACAAAACCATCATTGCCTACCTGAGACGCCATCAATACTGCAATGTGGTGCTGCGATGGGATGAGCAAGCATGCGAGCAAGACATGTAGTTGAGGCAGCAACAGACGGAGCAGTATGTAAGACAGCTGCAACAAAATCACTAAGTCATAGCTACTGCCAATTACTATTCCAGCTGACCTGCTCATATTCAATGGTGGCAGAGAACAATGAGTTGTTCCCCAGATAAAGGGACAAGACACGTATTGCAGGACACAGTCAAACAGCAGCAAACTAAAATTTATTTCTGTCTAATATTTGTGACGGAATGAGGGAGTCACATAAGAGGAAAATTCAGCCCCCTCCTCCGTGCTTTCTTCTCTCCACGACAAATTATTACAGATTATCAACATTAAACTCAGTACTCCCAATTGTCAACCATTCTCCCAAGCAATCATACATGACTTAATGTGTCAATATGCATTTTCTGGGGGACATTCAGTCTTTAACGATAGATAGCCAGTTAATAATTGGTATTATTATGATTGCATGTAAGACATTAATATATACTTGTCAGCCATATATTAAATACGGACACAAAATACATACACAAACATACACCCATATAGTTTCATTTTGGGTTTGGCCCAGAACCTCTTTTGGATAAGCTATCACTGTTTGTACTTTCTCCATCATGTTAAAGTTCAAGCATTATACATTACACTGTTATTTTATGTAATTTATAGTTGTAACAATTAAAACACTAACAGGTTGACCTAAATTGTATATGACTAATAGGCTATTTGGAATTTTATGTGTAATGACATAGTTAAGTAATATAATGTTTGTCTTCTTGTAAAATCATACTTGATAAAGTAGTCTGCACTATCAGCAGGGCAACACAGGGAGTCGAACCCCGTCCCAACAAGTGGGAGTACCTGTACCATTGCCTTTGCTTTTTTTGTGCAATATGACCAGGTAAAGCAAACCCTGCATTAAGAACAGCATCACAGTAAGCCGCTGAAGCTTTAACCACTACACTTTATTAGTTGTGAAAAAATTGAATGACAGTCCAATTGCAATTTGTGTTAAAATATGTGTTCAATACGTATACGTATATTATCTAACTTGTTATGTTATGCAATGCTGTCTTATTGCAAGTAACGAAACCATAAACAATATATTTTTTTTTACGTTTTTTTTTTTTTTTTACATTTCAGAACATATGGTACGCTGATGATGTGTCGTTCATTACCTGACCCATCTGAACTCAGCCTATTGTTTCCTCTGGTGTTCACGAGTGTGTGCGTGTGTGTGTGTGTGTGTGTGCGGGTGATTGTATGTCCACTTTGGAAGTTGGGTGCGGGAGGGGAACTGTAATTTTTAATTGTTTTATACTTGGGGAGGGGGGCTGGGATGGGAATGTGGGATCTATGGGGCCATTTTAATCTGTAAAGCACTTTGAGTTGCATTTTTTGTATGAAAAGTGCTATATAAATAAAGTTGATTTGATTTGATGTTTGTATAATGCATATGAATACAATATACAACAACTATAAATACACACAGTAAAAAGCACATATATTATTTAAAAATCCCTACAGCCATTTAACACCACACATGATGCCCAGGTTACCTATAAAAATCCCTACAGTCATTTAACACCACACATGATGACCAGGTTACCTATAAAAATCCCTACAGCCATTTAACACCACACATGATGACCAGATTACCTATAAAAATCCCTACAGCCATTTAACACCACACATGATGACCAGATTACCTACAAAAATCCCTACAGCCATTTAACACCACACATGATGACCAGATTACCTATAAAAATCCCTACAGCCATTTAACACCACACATGATGACCAGATTACCTACAAAAATCCCTACAGCCATTTAACACCACACATGATGACCAGATTACCTATAAAAATCCCTACAGCCATTTAACACCACACATGATGACCAGATTACCTATAAAAATCCCTACAGCCATTTAACACCACACATGATGACCAGATTACCTATAAAAATCCCTACAGCCATTTAACACCACACATGATGATCAGATTATCTAAAAATCCCTACAGCCATTTAACACCACACATGATGACCAGATTACCTATAAAAATCCCTACAGCCATTTAACACCACACATGATGCCCAGATTACCTATAAAAATCCCTACAGCCATTTAACACCACACATGATGACCAGATTACCTATAGTCACTACAGCCATTTCCAATGACACATGACTATTATCACCACAAAGTACTAAAACCATTTTACGACATACATGATGACCCGATCAGGGAAAAAAAAGCTACAACTGTGTAAATCCACAAAAAATTCCCTGATGGTCACTAAAATATGTTGGCATAACAACTGCCTCCATTTCATAAACCTTTGATTTTATATAAACGTGATCTATTAAAGTGCCCCTTTCTGTGGTTGGATCTGTGACTATTTGGGCATAGCCTCTGTCAGTCACAACTTTCAACACCGCAGATGACTTTAAAATGTCATCATTAAAATCCCCCATCAGCAATACGTTCTCACTTTGAGGCTCCAACCAATCAAGCAACTTTACTAAATTTGCTTGGAATACAGAAAGAGGATACAAAGGGGGCCGATAAATTACAGCCATTAGTAGGTTTAAACTAACAAATTTATAAGTTAAACACTCCAAGTTCACGTCTTGAAGCTTTAAAAGTTCAAAGGCCACTCCTTGTGCAGTATAGATGCCAACACCACCACGTTGTTGGTCTTGCAACGCCGCCAATGCCGCTTGGTTACTAGTATACGATAAATGTCGTGGACAGTTGTAAAAACTGTACCCATCAATCTTTACCGTATCTGAACAGGCTGTAGTCAGCCATGTTTCTGTTACAGCAATACAACTTGGTTGCAAATGCCGTGTGCAGAAAGCCAAGTCTTTAACATGTCTATTCAAACTTTGGACATTCATTAAAAAGAAAGTAAAGACAGATGTGTTAAATCTGTCCCACTGTGTATGTCCACTCAGAAGGGGCGCCATCCTACTGACAGCAACCGTGATGTCATCTTTACAGTAGATTCTATTTGCATCAAACTTCTGAATCGTGAGCCCAGAAAGAGTCGTGACACGACTAAGGGCAACATACGCTTGGCCAGGCGCAAATATTTTACTGAGACTGACCACAGCTGTGTTAACAGTCAAGCCCTGTACTTTGTGGACAGTACATGCCCATGCCAGTTTGAGAGGAAATTGACGTCGTAATCCACCTTTAACAGTGGCTTTTTCCTCTTCTGGTTCAATAGGTGTGGAACCAGCTAAATTTGATGACAGAGACTGGGAGGTTTTCCTCCTCTGCAAGCCTACACGATGGTCATCAAATTGAACGTATACCTTTTTAGGAAAGGTGTCATTTTCCTGCATTATAATTTCCGTCACAATACCACAGACCCCGTTTACCAAACCATCGGCAACATCCACATTTTTGCACAACATCACACGCGCACCCTTACCCAACAACAACTCTTCAGCCAAATTTGTGTTCGAAGCTCTAGCATGATTACCTTCCAACAACTTCAGCTTGCCAGTTTTTTTATCATTAACATAATCTTTGGCTTTAAACGATATATAATCAGGGCAAGTCTGACATAACTGAATAATATTGTGCTCATTTACTTGTTTATTCGTCGCAAATATGTGCAAGGCTGAGCTCACCTCACCGGTTTCACAAGTTTTTAGAATCTGTAAATCCTCAGGTAACAGCGGTTGACCTTTAGAATGAGTCCTAATCCTATTTAACAGCTGGGAAAACACTGCATCTTTTTGTCTAACTATCTCTGTTAATTCAACAACCTTAAATAAATCAGTCCATATGCTGCTACCTACACCATCAGAATAGAGTGGTTTCCCTTTAACAGGAGGTAGCTGGAAAAAATCTCCAACAGCCACAACACTGACATTTCCATAAGGTGAAAAGTTCCCCGTTTGTTTAATCTGCCGCAATCTACCATGGACATAGGATAGGAGGTTGTGATCTACCATTGATATTTCATCTATAATGAGAAGCTGGAGATCGCAAAATCGAGAACGCAAAGAATTGAGCTTCTCTTCACCCAAAGGAGTGTACGGTAAGCGTACATCCTTTCCTATAGAAAATGTTGAGTGGATTGTTGTGGCCTCCAAATTATATGCTGCTATACCTGTGGGAGCTGTTAAGAGCACACATGTGTTGTCGGGATGTTTACAAGTAGGTGAGAGTAATCTTTTAACTTCATACTCTATCGCGCGAATTAAGTGACTTTTCCCTGTGCCCGCACCGCCAGTAACAAAAATATGCAGTGGTTCAGGATTAACGCCATTAACTTTATCTATACACCACTGCCGGATCTGATTAAAAACAGAGAACTGTTTCTCATTCAAAGATCTAATTAATGCCAGGCCTTCAGTTCTACTTATTACGTTTCTCTTCTCTAATCGTCCAATGTCCTTAGATGACAAAGCCAAATCTGGGATAATTTCTGGATCATCGTTTACAGTTTGTGAGTTCTCTTTCAATATTTTCACACATTCCAAGCGCTCAACCTCCAACTCTGGACACAACTCACACCAAGCATTCTCTAACATTGCATCACCAACAATATTGTCCACAGCCTCCAAATTATCAGATTCCATTTCATATTTACCCCGATTTAAATCTACAACAGACTTTACAGAACGGTTTGCTCCATCAACGAATCTAATAAAACCGGTTCGGTAAAACTCCTCAAATGTTTCACAGGTTGAAGGCTTAAGTTCAGTATCAAAGCGATGTGGCAGAAACAACTGCAACATGCTTTGATAAAACTTCTCTGGCTCTCTGGTTTCAGAAAAACGGGCGTAACGAACAACGGCTGGCTTAGTCCGAGTTCTTTTTGCGACAAATCCGAAATCACTACTCAACTGTACAGGGTTTTTACATTTCTCGTTTTTACTCAAAACACGATATTCTGAAGCAAACGTCGCAAGGCACATGTCATTAAATGTATCATCATTAGGTCTGTTCTTATAACGGTCAGCTATGCCGCACATCCACATGTCGTCGGTACTGAGATCCTGTGACATTGCCTTTTGTCTCAAAACAGCAATGGGTAAACTCATTTTAACTACATTATCACCAGTGGGAACAAAAACTACTTTTCTAGAACACTCTTTTAGATGCATGTTGGTTAGTCTGTACACAGCTTCCTGTGCACAAACATCTCGGTTATGAAGATAAACATTTCCGAGTGTCTTCAAAGCCTCTTTAGCACTAACATTATCTTTAGCTGCTTCTCTTTGAGAATTAGCAAGCAGAAGGCCAATTTCCCGCTCGCTTTTGGACATATAAGATACTATATAAACACAACATGCATAAGCATCTACACAATATTGGATATCAATATTAGCATTCCAAGCTTTTAACAGCAACCTGCTATACTGATTAATCCAAATCTCATTAATTTGCCTCTTCAAAACAACATGTGTATTTCTACAAAATCGTTTATATGCCGTTTCAAATACTTCCTGGCTAATACCCAGGCCTCTAAACAGATCTTCCACACTGGTATATGGACAGTCGTCACTAGAAATAGCAGTCTTTACTTTAGTTAAAATGGCACTAGCTACATCTTTGTCCATTTCTTGTTTACGTGCTTTATCTTGAGACAAGCAGGGACACTGCACAGTAGAATCGGTTTTATCGCATTTACAAGTCTTCGCTGCATCTTGATACTTTTCACCACGGCTAATAAAAGTTCTAGTAGATGCAGGTCGTGGAAAATTAAAACGACAAACAGTATTTTTCTTTTTACAAGTCTTTGAATGTCGTTTTGAATGTTGCTGCACAGATGAGACTACTTCAGACAGTGAATCTTCTTCAGGAGGAAGTTCACATGTCACATATTTGTCAATGAATGCAGTGACCTCCTCATCTGTGTTCTTGTCTAAAACTGGAGCACCAGAAACCCAAAACAGACAATGACAATGTGGAGAACCACGCTGCTGGAACTCAACACGATAATAGTAATCTACAATCTTACCGATGGGATTGGCAGGAGACATAAGAACTTCTCTTAAGAAGACGTGCCATCGAAAATCAAACATTCGGGCAGCAGTGACAGGATTTCTACGCAGCAGTTCACATTTATCAGCCCACTCCAGCTGTTCCACTGTCTCCGTTCTGCCTTCTTGTCTCAAAATACTGTACAGGAGATTAGTCCATCTCATATCTGCAGATGAAAACGATGCAAACCATGTAGGTTTGCCCAGCATTCTAACACATGCCAGCAGGTCGCGTTGTGCAGTCTGCCAAAATGCAGGTGTGCCCCGAATAGGTTTGAGGAAACGATACCCATCATCAAACTCCAACAGCTTATTTAAGGAATCCTGATCCTTTACCAAATTACGCAAGTCATGGGATTCACCACTTTTACCTTTACGCAGAGCTATAGAAACTTTAGACACAACCTGCTCCAGTTCAGACATGTACTGCGCAAAAAAGATGTATTCAACATTATGAGCAAATCGCCCATCAGCGTGAAGAAGTCTAGTGTTAAAATAACGATTCAATGTCAAATTATATTGCCGGCTTTCGTGGTATGTTTTTGATCCTGAAGGAAATAATACAGGGAAACATTTTGCCTCATTTGTAATATCAGAAAGCAATTTCACTGGATTATTACCTTCACCAGGAGCTACATTTAACACGTTGTCAACATACTGATCTAATGCTTCTTGTCCTATATCCACTGGCATGAGACAGGTGTCCTGAAACATACAGTGTTGCTGTCGATCATGCAGCAGTTCATCTTCATCCTCTTCTATGCACGCACCCTCATCTTTATCAGCAACACCGTCCTTTTCCGATACAGAATGGTCATCCACACGAGAAAATTCATTAATCCACGCTTCATTGAACTGTACATCCTTGTAATGTAAATTATGATGTTTTAAATACTGAAGAGCTTCCTGAACATGCACTGCGTCAACATACTGATAATCATAATGGCCTTTATATGTTAATTTACGTTTTAACTTTACAGGTAATAAAGACCCCTCCATGTTGGTGCGTGGTAATAAACTGCACGTTTCAACTATATTTGCTGGTACACAAGTTACAGGACCATGAATCCCATTCTGACCACCTTTAGGCAGAGCCAACATTTTCATAAATGGTATATTTAAAGCTATCAAATGTTGCTCTAATGTATTTAATCGTGCCAACTGAGGTGGGATGGGATCAACAGTCAGTTTGTTGATTGAACTCTGTGGAGGTATTTGACAATTGTTAATTTTATAATGGCAGGTGTAACAGATATACAATGAATTTCTAGATGTACTGAAAAACTCACATGGTGACTTGCAGGCACTGGTGCATCTATGCACATAATCTTCACTTATACATTTATCTGCTATAAGTGACATTTCTTTGTTTTTTTTATAATAATCTTTGCGACAATTTAAGACCTGATGTTTAAATAACAATCGAGAGCATACACAACACACAAAATCAGGTCCATCTTTTACCTTCTCCAAAAATTGCTCAGTGACAAAGTCAAAGTGTTGTGACTTTAATTTAATCAGCTCTCGTTTCTGCTTTATACTTTCTATTAATCGGGTTTTATGTTCAACTTTAAGATACTGCCTTCTACTCAACTCTTTTACTTTTTCTTGACGAGATAAATTATGGTGGTATTCATGAATACCCCTCTGTTTAACTCTTTCCTGATGAGGCAAATTATGGTGGTATTCATAAATTGTCCTCCGTTTAACATTTTCTCTGTGAGACAATTTATGACGATAGTTATATAAACTCATCTGTTTAACTTTCTGTTTATGTGTAGCAACAAATTTGTATTTAAATTTGCTGGAGTTGATCTTTGTCATCCTGCATACAAAACTTGTCTTATATAATTTCTTGTTCTGACTTTTAACTTTTTCATTAAACACATTTTCATTTCTATATCGAAAGGCTTTTGTAAAATACCTTTGTTGTTTTTTATATTTAGACAAAACTGTATTCATTTTGATACTTTTAATGTTTGGGTCAGCATTTAACAGCTTTTTTGTTGATCTTCTGCACCGGTTTACAGTGTCTGACAAAGAATCAACTTTACAAAAACCAAAACATGTTTCTTTATCACCCTGCTTAGTGCAAATAATAGGTTTAAAATTATTATTACACTTTGACAAATAAAGTCCCTCAATGATGAAATTACTGGAATTAGGACTATATTTGATCCACTCAGTGCCATTATTAATAAATAAGTGCACGCCTAACATATTAGCTGCAGCCCTACATTCTACTTCTGTAGCACAGTGACCTACATACTTCATCTGTGACTTTTCAATATATTGTGACACAGAAGCATGTTGTTTTCCCAGGAACTGTTCACACTGTTCAGTATTTTTTAACATGTATGAAACAACAGAAAGTCGGACCTTACGATGGCCTTTCTGTGACCCACTAATTGAATGAGCTACAGCTCTGAAAAAACTATTACCATCTTCTACAATATCCTCTGTCTTACACACATTTCCTAAAGTCCCACATGGTGTAGAGTCTTGGGAAGTGTGTTTGTCATAATCTATTTTCAACATGTTACAAAGAGTTTTACAAACATCTGCAGACAGAGGAGTAAAAGCATTGGCATGATCAAACACACGGGCATCATGTGCGTCTATAGAACAAGACACAGGTTTTACGGTCTCTAAACGATGCTTTAAAGGTTCAGTAGCAGCTCGTCGAGTGTTACATTTTCCAGAATCATCTACAGTCTTGCAATACCCATAACATGTTTCCATGTTAGGCTGTTTAACACAAATGACTGTCTCATAATGGTTACCATTACAATTTTGTAAATAAACACCTTGATTAGATATGCTGCTGTTGGAGCTGTATTCAAGCCATTTATCATTACAGTAAGTGAAAATGTTAATGCCAAAATAATCTGTGGCAGCTTGAATTTCTACCTCAGTTGCCCAGTTTCCTACATATTGCATCCTAGATGAGTTAAGATAGTGTGGAACCGAGGAATACTCACTTCTTAAAATACTTTGATATGTTTGAGGATTCCTTTTTAACTGGTTTACCACAGCGAGCCGAATTTTTCTATGATGTTTCTGGGTGCCAGTAACAGCTCGACTTACTGCCCTGAAAAAACAGTTTCCGTCACCCACTATTTCCTCATTCACACAAGGTACACCCAACTCACCAACACCATAACAAGCATAATCACACTTTTCATACTCCACATTCAACCGTTTACATAGAACCTCTGACACATCACTAGAGATGGGATCAAAATGCAAAACCTTTGTCGTAACATCACTAACAAAAACAACAGAGTCCATATCCTTAACATCATCGATCTTCGTCCTTTTGCATGCTGTGGATGTGGATGACCTTTTGCGCTTCTCCCCTTTGGCCTTCGTGGGTACTGCGCTTGTTTGTTCAGATACATTTTTAAATGTGTCCATCTGAACAATATCCACTCTAGTGATCTCAAATGACTTCTGAGATCCCACTAGTTTACTAGCAAACCTCTGAAAATGTTGAAAAACATTGTCAAGGTTTGCAAAGTACACAACTACACTCTGTCCTGTCGGGTCTACCATGCCGTCTGCAGAGCGTGCATGGGAATCTACTACAGCATAACGTCCATTATCACAAATGATAGCGCAAGTATTGCCACTTAATGTCATAATGCAAGTTTCATGCTGTGTGCACATCTTCTGCAATCCATCCAGGAGAGGAGTGTACACACCAGCATCTATTAACTCGCCTTCAACTACATCTACATCTCCTGAAACAAAATCCCCGTAAACAAGCTTAAAACGCTGTTCTTCTATGTCAATTTCCTTTGGCAAGTCTGGAACAGAGAGAAACTCATGTCCACCTCTAATCTTTTTGTTGTCGCGCAAATCTGTGTACAGCTCATCTCCTAACTCAACAACGTTATCCAACACGGCAAAGTTCCAAGAAAAAACACTCTTCTGTTTGTGCTTTGTTAAAGCAACAACAGTAATAGCTGCACACTGAACTCCCCCATATTTAAAACGCCTATCGCCCTGGTGAAATGATCCTAGGATAGAGTCTAAAACTTTATCATCCTTGTGTGAGCTTGTATCATCTTCATCAAAATTATTTACAACAGAACTGCTTGAAGGTTCCTGAACAGTTGTCTCTGGAACTAGAGACGATAGCAAAATCTGTGAACGCATGCAAGAAGGGGTGTTAGTGGACTGACCTCTGGGTGATGCATGCGTGTGACGGCAATCACCCTTCTGGCCAGAAGGAAGCATCACAGCATGAGCAGCACCAGACCCAGAGACAGACCCAGGACAACCAGATGCCTCCTGATGGTGGGGTAAAGGCAGCTGGTCACAGTCCAACACCTATATAAAAGAAATTAAAGGGCAATACATCCTAAACACCATCAAGATTTGTTTAGTTTTTATGTTTGAAACACACACTTCTTACCTCCTTCCTAAAATGAACAGACTCCACGTCTGCAAGAGGATTTATGCAAGGTGGGAATGCAACCTATAATTCAAGAACAACAACAGTTAACAAAAATAACACCACAATGCATTTGTATGCCAGATAATTTAATGAATCAACCTCCTGCTGGACACGCCTAGCTGCTGTCTTAAAATGTCGCACAGACGTAGTCTACAAACAGAAAATAATACGTTTAAGTACAATACTTTCAAATATACCATACAGACAGCCCATATTACATACATCAGGAAGTACATTACACTTAACATTAGAAGATAATAATAAACATTTACTTTGAAGTTACCTGTATGTCTGTGGGACCATCTGAACCAGCCGATGGAGCAAGTGTGTCCATGGCAACCACATTGTCAGGTGAGAACTGTGGGATGGAACACTCCTTCACAGCCACTGGAGTGCCAATCTATTGAACAAGAATGACCAGATATTACCATCTATATGGAAATAATCTAAAAAAATGTAATCAAAAACGTTCACTAACTTCACCAAGAACCACTCCTTTCTTGGGGGAATCAGAAGCATGTTCAGATTCCCCTGAATGGTTCCTCTGTAATGATTAAAAAAAATAATAATAAGCACATTGAAAGGCATTACTAGCAGTGTCACCTAAAGTCATACACTTTTAAGAATATTTATACTTTACAAAGTATCTTACCATCCCATCAGGTCTCACGGGTGTCCATTGGGAAGGGGGTGGAGGTGTAATGGTTTCCACAACCTTCGCAACAACGCGTGGCACATTACTTGCCGTAACTGGATGAGACACCTGGCGCTGCACCAGTGGCTTTGGTGAGGATGTCTCCAAGAACTGAAGTAATTCACAACAGTTGTATGATCACTGACACCATAATGTATTTGTGTGCAAGAGTCTTTAATTAATCAAACAATTATTTACCCGCTGCTTTACTGGCCTGGGCTTCAAGACAGCAGGCTTCTTGCGATGTCCCACAGACGTAGTCTACAAACACAAAAGTATTATTTTTTAGTTTAGTGCAATACTTTTAAAAATGACATACCGACAGCCCATATTACAACCATCAGGAACACCATTACACTATACATTAAGAGATAATAAACCCTTTGTCTAAAGATACCTGGATGTCTGTGGGGACATCACCAAGAGCCGATGGAGCTAGCGTGTCCATGGCAGCCAGAATTGTAGGTGAGAACCTAACGGGATTCAGGGGGATGAAACACTCCTTCAAGGCCACTGAAGTGTCATCAGTCTATTGAAGAAAATTCACCACATATTATCATCTAATCAAAATTCTTTGAAAAAGATAAATCAAAAACATTCACAAACCTCAGAAAGAACCACTCGTTTCTTGGGGGAATTAGAAGCCTTTTCAAATTCCCCTGAATGGTTCCTCTGCAATGGTAAATAAAAGAAAACACATTTAGAAGCATTAGTGGCACAGCTGCTTAAAATTATAAACATTTTACAATATTTATACTTTATAAAGTGTCTCACCTTCCCGCTAGGTCTCACGAACGTCCATTCGGAAGGGCGTGGAGGTGGAATGCGTTCCACACCCTTCACAACCACACGGGGCACAATACTCGCTTTCATCGGACGAGACACCTGGTGCTGCACCAGTGGCTTTGGTGCGGGTGTCTCCAAGAACTGATAGGAGGCATTCCACATCAGTTGCGTGAGTATAGGCATCCCGTGGTCATCACTGAGGTGGATCTGCAACCACAAACACAAACAAAAGAAAATACAAATTTACTACCTCAAATTTAAGAATCTTTACCTCGTTTTCTTCCAAGCAATATACTTACACCATCACGGCACCACAGTTCGCGACGGTACCTGGGTAGGTCATCGTGGATCGGCACGTAACTTACACCTTCGAAGCAGAAGGAAAAAATTTATGTAAAAGTTATAAAATGTGATTGTTTGATGCCTAAGAGTATATAGCAATAACACTTGTCGTCAATACTACCTTTTATCTAATTATGTTGCAACTTACGTAGCTTAGCCGATCTGCGGTGGTACTCCTGCTGAAACAGGTCTTGACGCTCCCAGGATCCAACTAAACGGGGAATCATGGCGGTACAGAAAACCTAAAAAAATAAGGAAATAATTTTTTTTTATGTACGTTTACAGTCGCTTCCTATACCTCCAAAATTACACAAATCAGCTCCTCACCTTAGGCCAGCGACTGAGAATAGCCAAAAGGTACCGCTCAAAAGCATCCCCTGCCTCTTCAACTGTTCTGCTGGCCGTAAGGTTGTTAGAAGGAGCCATGACGCAAACAGCATCAGGCTCCCGAGGTAACACAGCCTGTGAAACCTCAAGGCGCAGAAGATCTGCACAAGCTCCTGGAGTGGACATCACTCCAAAAGCGAGGCCGCCATCCGGCATAGGGACTATGCCGTCTGCCACGGACCTCAAGTGGGAGTCCCCAACAAGTAGGACGAACTAAATTAGAAAAAGAAACAAATACATTTTCATATAAAACAATCTGTATTAAATGACATTTCATACAAAAGACAATGTAATATGCTTCTCAGGAAGAAAGAGATAACATTAAACAGTCAAAGTTTACAAACAATAAAACATGAAATGGTAAAACCAATTACAAAATACACCAACATAATGACATGTAAATAAAAATAAAGACATGTAAAAATAACTGAGCAGTTTAAGTTCTAAATCACAGATTGAGAAGCACTGAATAAAAAGGATGATTACAACTAGGTTTTCTATTAAGATTCAAAAGTTGGTAGACTTGGGGCACAAGTCTAAAAGAAGCCGATTCAATCCGTTTGCAGCACTGTAACTGATAGCAGCTTCAACACCATCTGACTGTTTCCTTAGGATCCCATAGTACTGCTACATAGTATTGGAAGGAAATCTATATTTACATTTTAAATATTTGTGAACATTACACTCACTTTCTTGTCAGGAATCCCACCCGGAAGGACCAACTTGTGAGCTTTGTTGGACACTGCACTAGTTGGCCAACGACGAACTCTATGGCGCCAGCCGGTACCAGAGACTTAAAAAAAAACAACATTTCAATCTTTTTTTGTCCAATAATTTTTTCACCTTACATTAATACAGTATAAATTAAATGAATTGCATAACACTACAATAATTTGTTCTACTAAATACATACGATGAACGTCGTCACTGTTGGGCGTTGGAATCCCAATACGCAGGGGCGGAGGTGGACGTTTGCTGCGCTTGGCAGCATCCGCCTTGCGTTTGGACACTTTGCCAGGCATGGTGAATGCTGTGTGAAACAAATGAAGTAAGTTAATTATTTAGAAGGCAACCCCACATTAGCTCCAAGCACTACACAACTGACTGTCACACAGGTTGCCTGTCACTTGTTAAACATTAAAGAGCAAGTCACCCCCAAGTCAACTATTTTTTGCTGATAAACTAAATAAACGAGTGTCTAATCGTGACGCAGACACGTGTAGTCAGTAATTTGGCACTTCAGTGCATCTTAGTTAAAATTTAAATATTCTGCCTAAAACTGGCAGTGTTGTGCCGTTGTCACTGTATTTTAATTTAAATCTGCCACCGCTATTGACTAAGAGGTATGCTATGATGTAAACTGGTACATTATGATGTCACAATGCTGTTGTGAGCCTGTGTGTGTATTTGTTAGCAGCTCCGCCTTCTCGGTCTGCCAGGCAACAGCATTTGTTGCATTTTTCAAACATGAAGTGAGAGTGGAGTTAGACTCTGGTAGGGGTTGACTTGCTCTTTAAGTAAAGTTGTAAACATACAAAATAACCAGTTTTGTACCTTAAAGGGAAACAATGCAGTTCCTGCTTGCTTTTAGCACCCCCTAAAGTTTGTAAGTTAACAAGCAGAAATGCTACTTAACTTCTTGCTGTGCGTTTGTCTTTTTAACACCTTCATCTAACTGCAAAAATGTGTCCTCAGCCTTCATCAGTTTGTACAGGAGCAGTTTCACTATATCAAACAAATGAACTGTGTTCAACATTGAAGACATGTAGGCAACATGCAATGGAAGCAGACTCAAGCTCCAGCATGTCAGCTACACTTTACTGAGATGAACAGGGACCAGCCTGAATACTCTGACGTTGCATAGCTCAGGGATTACTTTTCACAAGTACATTTGGTCATGTTTGTTGTTTCTATTTAGTAAATATAACATTGCTATACTACATTTATGTTCACCAGCAGCACCTCCTAGTCAGCCAACATTAGCTACATGCTCACTGCTAGTTGCCCTGAAAGCAAATGCAAAATGAGACTTTATTAATCATTTCTTTTAAAACACCAACTTCTATTACAGCTGAGCTGATACAACAATGCTGCTGTAGAAATTAAACAAATCTTCATATGTCTCATGTGTCAGACTCTCCTCTCTGACTGCTAACAAGCTGCCATGCCAACATGCTGAAAAAGACATTTTTCTGGTTCTACCCTTTGAAGAGTGTAATAATAATAATAAAAAAAAAAGCAATTTCGGGTTTAAGACAAATTCTAATACTCGTCTTCATTACAGGGTATGTGCAGGTTTAAGGGAGACAAATTTAAGACTTTTTCAGACCTTTTTTAAGGCCACTTTGACCAAATTTAAGCTATTTTTAAAATTAAATTCAAGCTATAATTTCCAGCTATTGCCTGGAACCGGTGTTAACCACGTCACGAACGTGGGATTAGCCATCCAGTTACCATAAAACTTGCACTTCCCCATGGCGCAAGCTCCCACTAGCTTAACCAACTAATGTGCCAGGGTTTTTC